GATAGATAGATGGGATACCACGGCGTTGACACGGTCACTGAGCGCGCTGGTCAAGATCTTGTCCATGGCAGCAATCACCTTGGCGTCGGACACGTGGCACGCCTTGCTCTCGAGGAGGCGTTGGAGGTAGCTGAGGCCTTCGACGCGGGGTGCCCACGCGTTCGAGTAGAGGCACCGCGCGACCTTGTCGCCAAAGCACGCTTGTACGCACAGCGCTTCGTCCTTAAACTGGTCTACACAGTACAACCATTGAACTATCGCTCGAGATGTTGTCTACGTACCTTGGACGGGCTCGGCGTACGGCAGATCCGTGTCACTCAGCTCGTCCTTCTTGTCGCTGGTCGCGAGGAGGAGGAGATTGACGTTCGGCGCGCTCGTGTCCTTGACCTTGGGCGTCCGCGTCTCCGAGAGCCGCTTGCTGTTCTGCAGCGCGGTCTTGAGGCCCTTGTTGATGTTGCCGAGGAGCGACGGCTTGACTTGGCCGACGTATTTGAGCAGGAGCGAGTCGGCAAACGACAAGATTTGATCGCCAACCTCATTCGCCGTGCCCTCGAGTCCTACGCCACTTCGTCACATCTCAGATCGAGACAAATAAGCTACCCGACGACTCGCTCGTGATCAAAATGGCTTGCACGAGCAGGTCGATGGCGGCTGTGCGCACTTTGGCATTCGAGTGCTCGAGCGTCAAGCCGCTGATCTTCATGGCGTCTTCAAAGAGGAGGCCACTGCCTTTCGAGAACCGGTACTGACTAGCGATGGCCGTCAAGAGACGAATGTAGACCAATACGTGGCGCCACCCGGCCACTTTGCTCTTTGGGAGCATCTGCGTTGTGATGTTGTGCGTCATCCTCGACGTTGCGTGCTCGCTCTTGCAAGCAAGGAAGAGAAGCGACGTGACGGCTTCGCTTGCCTCGCGCTCGTGGGCGCCGGCGGCGCGCTGCAATAGGACGTCGATGATCTCAGCGATGCGCGGATGGGCGTCGTGGTACGCGACCGAGTGAAACGACGGCGTGGCGAGGACGCTGTTGAAAGCACCTTTGAGTAGCGGCATCGAGCTCGAGAAGACTTGGGCGACCGAGTCCCGCGCAGCGAGAAGCAGGACGTCGCACGCTGCATCAAAGATGGCCGCGCTCGGCTTTTGCTGCTGCTGGACCGCAAGGACGACATCGGCCACGCCTTGCTGCCGCGTCTTCCACTCGCTCGAGCCGAGTTGACGCGCGGTCGCAGCGCCAAACGCCTTGGTAATCGCTTCCGAGATTGGCTTGCGGGTCTCGTCGTCCGACGCAGCGTCGTCGTCGGCCCCGCCGCTCGTGTCGAGCCCGTCGTCGTTGGCTTCCAACGTCCCGTGCTCCGCATACGTCGAGAGGAATGCTTGCGTGTGCCCGGACGCGAGGTCCATGGGCGTGACGCCCAAGCTATCGGTGGCGTGGAGGTCGGCGCCGGCGTCGAGCAGCACCTTGGCCACGTCCTTCCGGCTCTAATTTTGAAATGCAAACTGAGAAGGCAAAGAAGTGCGAGAGATGGACCTGGTGGCACGCGTAGTGGAGCGGCGTGACGCCGTTGATCGCCGAGCCCGCGAGGTCGGCGTTGCACTCGACTAGGAAATCGACGATCTCGACGTGGCCCTTGACGCACGCGGCTTGAAGCGGCGTAAACGCGATGTCGTAGCAGCGGTCGTCGGCGGGCTTAGCCATGTGCGCCTTGCCACTGTAGTCGGTATCGATGTCGGCGCCGTTCGAGACCATCCACTTGACGAGCGGCAAGTTGCCGCAGTCGGCGGCGTAGAACAGGGGCGTGTGGCCCTACGCATGGCGTCGATGCATTGTGGGCACGCGATGGGCAGGCGTACCCGCTTGTTGGGCTCGTTGAGGTACATGCCCGACATGAAGAGGTACTTGCACGCATTCAAGTTGCCGTTGGAGCACGCGATGTGCATGAGCGTGCTCTCGGTGCTCTCGTCGACGAGTCGATTGACATCAAACGCCTTGTCGTCGCCGGCCGAGAGCTCCTGTGGCCCGCGATCAGCGAGAGCCTCCATGGCCGACCATTGGTACCTCGATGAGGCGCTGGACCGTCCCGAGGTCGTTCGACTTGGCGGCCGCGAAGATCGTCTGCGCCAGCTCCAGCATGCTCCTGGCCCCGAAAACAACCCAACAAGCGCGACTCCCAGGCCAAGGGCCGGCCCGAAACGACTCTGTGAAACTGTAGCAGTAGTATGATTGGCTAGAAAAATAGTATTTTGGCCAATCATCGCGAGGTTGAAGTTGCTGGACCCATCCCAGCGTTTGCGCATCCAGCGGCGCGTCCATCAAATGGGGCCTCATCGTCGTCGACGAGTCGACAACGACGGCCGCTGTCGCGCGAGGCTGCAACCGAAAGCGATACCAACGGCCATCGACCGCTACCTCTGGTGCGCACCTATCGGGCGTCACCATCGCAGTGCTGACAGCATGCCATCGGGTCCTGTTGACAGCGAATGCCATGTGACATGGGTCAATGCTCCTCGCTCGACCTGCATGAGACGCCAAGCACTAGCATGTTATAGCAGTATCTTCTCAATGACCCATGCATGTGACCAGCTCACGTGGTCGACGACGCCATGTACTTGCGATCCCGCTTTGCGCAGACGCCACTGCGGTATGTAGCTGCGAGCGAGCACACTGTCATGGTCCATACCCGTGTGCTCGCCTCGCGGTTCGTGACGCCTTGCGCCATGAACGTGTGACGCCATCGGCGGCGGCGTGCTGGTTGCTTGCTCGATACGCTGGCTCCAGCGGGCAGCTCGGCTAACATGCGTCGCTGGGCTCGCTCGTGCCCGTGCGCCATGGACCGTCGTTGGCCACCGGCACCTGGCAGCGTCGACCATCAGCACCTTGTTGACGGGCAGATGCAGAGCGATCGCCATCAGGTCGCGTCGTCGCTTCGCCGGCTTGGACCACAAAAAGTTTCCGATCCTGGATGATCCGCATAGTGTATCCGGACAAGGGATTTCGCAATCGGGTGGTCATTCGTGAAATTCCATGGCCGACAAGGTGAGCACCAAGCTGAGCGCAATGGAGCTCGTGGACTCTGCGGAGAAGAAGTTTGGCCGGCGCAACCACCTGCGGGCGATCGAGGAAGAGGTGCAGAAGCGCTGGGAGGATGCCAAGGTCTTTGAGCGCAAGGTTGACCACTCGAAGAAGAAGTTCTTGGCGACGTTCCCGTTTCCGTACATGAATGGCATGATGCACATTGGCCACGGCTTTACGATCACCAAGGCCGAGTTTGCGACGCGCTACCACCGCCTCAAGGGCGAGAACGCCATGTTCCCGTTCGGCTTCCACTGCACGGGTATGCCGATCCAGGCGGCGGCCAACAAGCTCAAGGCCGAGCTCGACGAGTTTGGCTTCCCGCCGCAGTTCCCGGTCGACGCGCCGGAAACCGTGCCTGCGCCGTCGGCGGCGCCTGTCACGAACGAGTCCAAGGCCAAGGGCAAGAAGTCCAAGACGGTCGCCAAGACGGGCGGCCTTGTCCGCCAGTACGACATTCTCTCCAAGATGATCCCGGACCTCGAGCTCATCCCCAAGTTCAAGGACCCGAACTTTTGGCTCCAGTACTTCCCGCCGTACGGCCAGGAGCACTTGCGTCGCTTTGGCCTCGCCACGGACTGGCGCCGGTCGTTCATCACGACGGACGTCAACCCGTTCTACGATGCGTTCATCCGCTGGCAGCTCAACACGCTCAAGGAGCGGTCGCGCGTCAGCCGTGGCAAGCGTCCGAACGTCTACTCGCCGATCGACAAGCAGACGTGCGCGGACCACGATCGTCAATCGGGCGAAGGCGTCGGCCCGCAAGAGTACACGCTCGTGAAGCTCGAAGTGCAGGCGCCGCTGCCGGCCAAGCTCGCGTCGCTCTCGGCGTATAAGGTCTACCTCGCGCCCGCGACGCTCCGCCCGGAAACCATGTACGGCCAGACCAACTGCTTTGTCTTGCCGGACGGCGACTATGGTGCGTACCGCATCAACGAGACGGACGTCTTTATCATCAGCCGCCGCGCCGCGCGCAACCTCGCGCACCAAGAGTACTCGCGCGTATGGGGCAAGGAGGAGTGCCTCCTCGAGCTCAAGGGCTGGGACCTCCTCGGCCTGCCCCTCTCGGCGCCGCAGGCGACCTTCAAGACCGTCTACACGCTGCCGCTGCTCACGATCTCGATGGGCAAGGGTACCGGTGTCGTGACGTCGGTGCCGTCCGACTCGCCCGACGACTACGCCGCGCTCCGCGACCTCAAGCAGAAGCCGGCGATGCGCGAAAAGTACCTCCTCGCCGACCACATGGTGCTGCCGTTCGAAGTCGTCCCGATCATCGACATCCCGGGCTACGGCGAGACGGCCGCCGTCAAGCTCTGCGAGGACCTCAAGATCCAGTCGCAGAACGACAAGGAGAAGCTCGCAAAGGCCAAGGAGATCTTGTACCTCAAGGGTTTCTACGAAGGCGTCATGCTTGTCGGTAGCCAAAAGGGCCAGAAGGTGTGCGACGCCAAGGCCGGCTGCCGCCAAGAGCTCTTTGACGCCAACCTCGCGATCCCGTACTGGGAACCCGAGTCGACGGTCATGTCGCGCACCGGTGACGAGTGCGTCGTCGCGCACCTCGACCAGTGGTACCTCCTGTACGGCACGGAAGATTGGAAGCAGCGTGTCTCGGCCCACATTGAGAACCCGGCGGCGTTTGAGACGTACAACCCGATCTCGCTCGGCGAGTACCGGTCGACGCTCGAGTGGCTCAAGGAGTGGGCGCCGTGCCGCCAGTTTGGTCTTGGCACAAAGTTGCCGTGGGACACGGAGTTTGTCATCGAGTCGCTCTCCGACTCGACAATCTACATGGCGTACTACACGATCGCGCACCACCTCCAGACGAGCGTCGACGGGTCGGTGGGCGGCCCGCACGGTATCACGGCCGCCGACTTGACCAAGGAAGTGTTTGACTTTATCTTCCTCAAGGGCCCGGCCCCGACGTCGTCCAAGATCCCGCTGTCTGTGTGGACCGAGCTCCAGACAGAGTTTGAGTACTGGTACCCGGTCGACCTCCGCGTCTCGGGCAAGGACCTTATCCGCAACCACCTCACCATGTGCTTGTACAACCACGCCGAGATCTGGCGCGACGACCCGTCCAAGTGGCCGCGCTCGTTCTTCACCAACGGCCACGTCCAGGTCGATGCGCAAAAGATGTCTAAGTCGCTCGGCAACTTTCTCACGCTCGAGTACTGCTTCACCGAGTACGGCGCCGATGCAACGCGCTTTGCGTGCGCGGACGCCGGCGACTCGATGGACGATGCCAACTTTTCGCGCGACACGGCCAACATGGCGATCCTCCGCCTCACGACCGAGGAAGAGTGGATCAAGAAGACGATCGAAGAGAAGGCGACGCTCCGTGTCGGTGCGCTCAACTTCAACGACCGCATGTTCCACGCGCAGATGGACGACATCATCACGCGGACGGCAGCGCACTTTGACGCGATGCAGTGGCGCGACGGCTTCCAGGCGAGCTTTTTCGAGCTCCAGATCGCGCGCGACTCGTACCGTGACGTGTGCACGCGCGGTGGCTTTGGCGTGCACAAGGACGTCGTCTTCCGCTTCATCGAAGCGCAGACGATCATGCTCGCGCCGATTTGCCCGCACATTTGCGAGCATTTCTGGACGCTCTTCGGCAAGCCAGGCTTTGTCGCCGACGCGCTGTGGCCGACGGCGGCGCCGCTCGACTACAACCTCCTCCGCGCCGGCGATTTCTTGTCCAAGTCGCTCAAGCACTTTCGCGATGCGGTGCTCAAGGGCGCGGTCGCCAAGAAGGGCGCCAAGGCGCCCGTGGCCAAGCCGACGCACGCGCACGTGTACCTTGCGGAAGCCTTCCCGCTCTGGCAGCAGACGGTCCTGCGCTTCATGGCGACGCTCATCGACGGCAAGACGTTCCCGAAGGACTTTATGGGCCAACTCAAGACGCTCGTGTCCGGGGACGCCGAGCTCAAGAAGCTCACGAAGAACGTGATGCAGTTTGCGGCGTTCGTCAAGGCCGACGCCGAGCTGCGTGGCATCGATGCGCTCGAGCTCAAGATGCCTTTCGACCAAAAGGCTGTCCTTGAGACCAACAAGATGTACATTGTCAAGTCGCTCGAACTCGACGACATGAGCTTCCACTACGTCGACGGCGCCTCCAATATCGACGGCGCGGACGCCAAGAAGATGGAAGTCGCGGCCCCCGGCAAGCCCAGCATCTTCCTCTACTAAGCGACCTTCGGTGACCTTGGTCCTAATCACCAGCAAAAACTACATTTTTCACATTGAGATTGCTCTTTGAAGATAGCCGGGCCAGCGCCTCTTGACGACGTGCGCTGAGAGGAAACGCAGACGAGAGACGTTGGATACAGTGGATCGCCACTGGATAGCAGAGTTGGATCGTGGATAGCTGACAGTTGGAGACAGACATCACTACCAGAGACGCGGGACCAAGGTCGCGCGGTGGAGGGTCTTGGCCGCCGGGAACGTCGCTTGGTACCATGCAGCAGCGCGAGCAGCGCTAATGGCTTGGTTGACGGTGACCCAAGACGCAAGGGCGACGACGTTCACGTTGCGGCCGCTGGTGACGAGCACGAACGACGCGTAAATAAGAATCTCGGCCAAGTAGAGCGGACTCCACGTGTGATCAAACCAGTCGCCGAACGGGAGCCCGTACGCGCCTTGGTTCGTGCGCTTGAGGTTCGTCAGAAGGCCATTGCAGCGCATCTGGTGGGCGCTCGCATAGAGAAAGAGGCCAACGCCCGCGAGCATATAGCCGAAGTACGACGTCTCGTCGTCGCGCGCCGACGCAGCCGGGTCCAAGACGACCGAGAGCGACACGAGAACGTAGTGCCCGACGCCAAGAAGACATGCTACGAGGCCATCAACGTCAGCGCGTGCATGGACGACGTACCCGACGCGTGCATGGTAGACGCACCAAAGTCCGTCATGGCCCAGCTCTCCATCATGCGGCGGAAGAGGTGGCATTGCAGCACGAGCAGCACGAGCAGCGTCGAGCCATTGATGGTCGAGAGATGCGGCGGCAAGAAAGGCGATAGGGCCGTCGGCGGGTGCCACGCGCAGAGAAGAACGAGCCCGTTCCAGAGCCAACCGATCAGGTAGAAGACGCCAAAGTAGCCCTTCCACACCTACGCCATGAGCGTGAGCGAGGCCATTGGCGGGATACGGCGGGACCTGCCACGACGAAGCGGTGTTGGCGAAGCGGCCGTGCAGCGAGAGCGCATGCAACGGCGGGAGCACGAGGCTCGCGAGGGCCGTGGCACTCAGCGTGAACCAGATACCGCGCAAGATACTGCTGGCGACCGTGGGGTCCCGCCACGCGGCCGCGCCGAGCGTCATCATCGTGTCCATGGTCGTTGCCTTTCGAAAGGCCAAGTGGCTGCGTGTTGTGATTGGTGGACTGTATCCGGATAATCCGGATAACGCACAGGATACCACCGCCAACCCAGATTTTGATATCCATCGTCGACAACGTATCCAGCGCTCGGGCGAGATATGGTTTTGGTTCGTAAAATTTGGTCAACGAGACCGAAGTAGAGCCAACAACGGCTAAACTACAATTCGACTGGATATTGTACTGGATGTTTCAATATATATTGTAGAGCGTGAAAAACCACGCAAAACGATATGCTCACTCAACACGGGACATGGCTGTCTGGCAGTCGAGGCGACTAGAAAAGGCTGTTGGTAACGCTTTCCTGACGTCGTTGCCGCCGAAATGAAGCGACCTCCGTCATCGTGAAGCGAGTACCTGGGTGGGAAGGTACCATTCCCTCCACTGCCGATTACCGAAAAGAGCCAAAACGTAGCTGCCGGGCGTCAACTTGGACTTCGTTTGCTCAAAATTGGCTCAAAATATATATTGGCGCCAAATATTTCAGCGCCATGGGCCACGTGCCGTAGGACACTTGCGCGCGCTCGTTCTGAACACAGAGAGCTACGGCGGCGTCTGCCCCAGTAATCCTAGCGGGCGATGCCATGTGCCGATGACAAAGATTTTGGCCGCCGCAATCATTGCTAATTCCTACTACGAGCGACGCAATTCCGTCGTATGCTACGTTTTAACGTAGGAATTAGGCTAATTCGTGGCACGCGCGTGACTCACACGGTGTGCGTAGAGCGGAGGCGCCGTATCCGGTCGTTGCCACGTTATCCGGTGGATTTGATGTGCAACACGGCCGCGCCTCACTCTACAACCAGCGCCAGTATGACCAAGCCGACGACCGACCTCCACAAGCCCGAGATCATTGCGCCCGAGTGGCTGCACCCTGTCGTTGACCTCAGCGCTGTCATGGCCGACCCATGTAGCTACGAGAAGACGTCGATCAACATGCTGCTGGAGCGCATCAACGGCTACGGCCTCGGCGGCTGGCACGTGGGCCCGTCCAAGGACGGCATCCAGGTGCACCACGGTGACATCAAGAACTGCGAGTGGCCGGCGATGCGGACCACAGGCGTCGTTCACGCGTCACCAGAGCGTGTCGTCGCCATTCTCACCGACATTGGCGCGGCGCCGCAGCTCGACAAGTTTACCAAGTCGGCCAAGATCGTCGAGCAGCTGAGCCCGACCATGGAGCTCCGGTACTTCGAAACGATTGGCGTGCTCTTTGTCGCTCCGCGTGACTTTTGCTCGACGACGACCGTGCAGACACTGCATGACGGTCGCCTCGTCATTGCGTCCCGGTCCGTCACGACCGACAAGTGCCCCACCAAATCGGGCTACGTGCGCGCCCAAGCGCTGCTCTCGGGCTACATTGTGTCGCGCCGCGACGACGGCCATAGCGACGTGACGATGTTTGCGAACGTGGACTTTGGCGGCTACATGCCGGGCCCGGTCATCAAGATGGTCGGACTCTCGGCGCCGATCAAGATCTTCCAGACGCTCCGCACGCTCGCAGCCGCTTCGTAGAGATGAATGAGTGTCGTAGGGTTGTGATAGAATAAGTATATAAAATGAATTGAAATTGTACTAGAGCCAAAGAGGACCGTAACCAATCTTTTATGTTGTAGCTATACTGTGTGCAACGAAGACGCGAGGTCACACGACCAGCATCAATGACGAGACGAACATAGCGCCCCAAAAGTCGGTCGACGGACGCTACTGCTGCAAAGACACTGCTGCAAAGACGATGCAGTCTACATCAGTCTACATGTCGTCACGGTCCGCGGGCCTTTGGCCCGCAACGGACGCCAAACTCTCGTCTTACGGACCAGCAAGAGTCTCGTCCACCTCGAGCTCTATTCTACCAATATCGGCCATACTGCACCTCGCGCCGCCGCCTGCGCAGCCACGGCCCGGTGGGCGACTGAAGAAGAAGAGCAGTCTCTACATATGCGACGTCTTTGTGATGAAGATAACGCGAAACACGTTTATATATCTACTGATTAGGCTTGACCTGTGAACACGCTACATCATTTTAGCAAATGCATGAGGACGACCTTCCTCACGCCTGTTTGAACAATAAGCCTCGGCTTCACAAGCCTCCATGCTCGCGCGTAGAGCACCACACCCCACCGCACTGTGCATCCCAGAGGACAAACGCAGCTTTTATGTTAGTACTACTACACAGTGATGGGCAACGTCAACGACACCCACTCGGTCCGGGGCACGAAGAGGTCGAGGATACGCCCGAGGCCGTCGGCGTCCGCTCGCTGGAACCCGTTCTTGTGCGGACAGTCCAAGTCGAGGACACCGAGGACGACTCCGTTGTGCACGATCGGCAGCACAATCTCCGACTGCGACGCGTCATCACACGCAATGTGGCCCGGGAAGAGGTGCACATCCGGAATGCGCTACATCGCTCTCAGTCGCCACGTCGAGTTTGCGAGCCACCAGTACCTGGATCACGCGGGTCGAGGCAGCCGCGCCACACACGCCGCTGTGAAACTTGATGCGCTTACACGCAGGCTTGCCCTGGAACGGTCCGAGCACGAGCAGCCGCGCGTCGAGGTCTGTCGGCGACGCACTCGGCGACGCACTCGTCGGTCGGTTAAAGTAGAAACCCGACCAGTTGATCGGGCGCCCGACAGCGTAAAACGCATGCCAGATCGCGGCGGCGACGTTGGCCGTGTTGGCGATAAAGTCGGACTCGCCCTTGGTGTACTTGTCGACGATGGCGTGCAGCGCGTCATAGTCGACGGCAGGCAGCGTGTCCGCCGGGTCGGTGACGCTCACGGCGCCGTTCCAGCCCACGTGGCGCACCACCTTTTTGGACGTCTAGTGCAGTAGTATCGTTAGAGACATGCTAACGTTAAAATGGGATCGCACCGCATCGTCGTCGGCCGCCTTGAAACCATCGAGCAGCTCGCCGTTGGCGTACACCTGCAAGTACGGGAGCTCGCCGACGCCAAGGTCCATGACGTCGTCGTCGTCCATGCCGTCGACGTTGGCATAATACGCTGCCTACGAAGCGAATAAGATTGCGCATGCGAGAGATGCGGGCGTACGATGTCGCTGCGGCCGGCGAGGAGCGCTTCGTTGGCCGCCACGACCTTCTTGGTCTTGACTGCGCACCACGATGCGCCAAAGAGCACGAGCACGGGCGTTTTGGCGGCAGCGATGGACGCGGCGACCGGCGCCCACTCGTCGACGGTCGTGAGGTAGCTGCTGTTGCCGGCCATTTTGAAAATGACCGGATACGGGGCGGGACAGGCCGCAACAGATGGCAGTGTTACCGTGCCCACTGCGACGCGCACCACTTGGCACGAAACGAACGTTCGGGATTGATGCCTAGAATGACGTGGCAGCACCACCGCCGTCCATGGACGTCCCTGATCGTCGGATGAGATTGCACTTGACTGCCAGCCATGCCAGACTGGCGACGACACTGGGCTGCCAATACCGCAACAAGAACGACCTCGTCATCGTCGCCGCGTAGCATCAGCTGAAGTGTACCTCCAGACCCGATGCGACCGTGAGGACACGAGCCAGTGAGCTATACGCCGCGGCAACACGTCCCTTGTTGGCGGTCAAGCGGTTGCTCGCAGCGAAGGCACAGTACATTACGTCTATTTCATTGAATCTTGGTCTCTTAGCGTTTAAGAGGACGCACGCGCGCCGCCGCGCATGCCTTGCGCACCCGTTGCCCGTGAGAAGCCGCCAGAAGTCCCGCTGCGCGGATACCGCGTCGACCGACCGCGCTTGGCTGCATATGCCTGCGCCTTGGCGTTGTCATGCGTCGTCGGCGTGGGCGGTCGCGCCGCCGTGGCCCCCGTCGAGGCCGACGTCGGCGAACGAAAGAACGGCGTGCCAAAGTACGTGCCCCAGCTCTCCTTTCGGACTGCGTCCGCGTCGTCCTTGTACAAGCTGTGCAAGAGAGCGTTTTGCGCCGGCGAGAGTTCGGGGAGCGTGCTTTTCGAGAGGCGCGGGCCGTCGATGCAGTGCGGCACGAAGCAGCTATTGTCGTTCGTCGTTGCGCCAATGTCTTCGCGCACGCAAAAGCCTGCCGGGGCACCGTGGACGACCCACGACCCCAACACGATCTTTCGTAGTGCAAAGCTCGACGTCGCGTGGTAGGCTTGGTACACCGGGGCACCCATGTCGAGGTCGACGACGCCGTCATGGCCTTCGGTCGGCAGCATCGATGCCTTGTCGGCCGCATCGAGAAACTCGGCTTTGCTTTTGTAGCGTCCCGAGTAGAGAATGCCGGCGCCCTCCCGGCCGTACTTGGGCTTGGCGACAATGTTGCCAGGGATCTTATTGTCGAGGATGTCGTCCCGATCGTACGTTGCGGGGAGCAAGTTGGGGTGGTCCGGGAACATCTCCCAGAGGAGCGCGAGCAGCGCCTTGTTGCCAAGGAGGAGCTTCCACGCCGGCTCGAGGAGCCGCTTGTTTCCGCCCGGCGTATCGACAAAGAGGTCGTCGCCCAATGACTCGGAAGCGAGCCACTCGTACGGATACAGCTTCCAGAGATGCTCGATGCGCGCTTTTGTGCCATCGACGATGTGGCCGTCACCATCGACCGACACGCTGCTGATCGGGACAACGTCGGCATTGAGCCCCGCGATCAGCGCCATGCGGTGCATGAACGCGACGTGTTCAATCTCTTCGATCGTCGCGTTCGTGCCAGCGAGATGCACATGAGCGCCCTTGGGTACGACCTTGGTCCACGCCGCCTTGAGCCGGTCCTCGATTTCGTTGAAGCACCACTGCTTCGAGTCGGCAAGCACGTGCGACTGCCACAAGCGCTGGCCGACGGCCGTCTCGACGAGAACAGTGGGCGTGTCGGCGTTGTACTCGAGGAGCTTGGGAGGGCCGGTGCCGTCCCAGCTAAAGTCAAAGCGCCCGAGGAGGTCCGGGTCCCGCCGCGCCCACGAGTCGCGCACTGCTTGGCGCAAGTTGAACGGAATCTCAAAGACATCGAGGAGCGCGTCCGAGGCGACGATGCGGTCGACAGCTTGGAGGCACATGGCGTGGAGCTCGTACGTGGCATTGCGCAGCGCTTGAGCGTCCGTACTCGTCATGGTGTACGCGGCCTCGTCGTTCCAGTACGGCTGCTCGTAGTAGCGCGTCTCATCCTCTTCGATCCACGTGACGCCGGCCAGCGATGCGTGGCGCACCCCGTTGGCTTCGAGGACGCTAAGCGGTAGCCGCTTGGACTGCGGCACGCGCTGAAGCGAGCTGTGGGGCACTGAGCGCGGCGCACGGTCGGCGTGGCTCTTCTTGTGGCACTGAGAGGCGTCGGTGATGCGAATCATCTGGAACTCGTTGGCCTCTTTGGTGTCGTAGTAGTAGATGACGCCGCAGACTGCGACACCGACGGCCGCAATACCCATCAAGGACGCCGGGTCCAAGTCCGGGTCGGAGGCTATGTGCCGCCGGTACATGAACCGGCGCACGCCAAGAAGCGGCTGCTGCGCGCGGCGAGGCCGCAAGAGGCGCGAGGTCGGGCGTACGAGGAGGCGCTGCATGCCAAAATAGAAAGTGCAAAGTCGAAACGATGGTGTGTGTCTGATTGTGGAGGAGTGATGGTCGAAGAACGTGCGACACATTGTATAGGGTCGCTAAATGGGTTAAATCGAATTTAACGTCTCTGGAGCGGCGCTGCTTCCTGCCTCCAAGAGCAAGAGCAAGAGCGCTGGAAGTGGGACAAAAGACTATGGGTAAATGCGGCAACTAAAGATTTCGAAAACGTACTTTCGGTCTAGTTGGACCTCGTGACTGATGCACAAGATGCCAACCGTGCGGCTGCCGAGTGAACCGGATGACCTTCCGGTTGGCATGAATCGAGTGGCGCAAGGCCTGGTCGTTCAGTCTACCCAGCGCAAGGATCAATGAATTGCGGCCCTCTTGCTGGTGCAAGCAGACACACGACATGGGACTACCTCAGAGATTCATGTACGAGAGACTTGACCTCAACACGAGAAAGTCGTGGCATATCCGCCACATGCCCTTTTTGAATCCGTGTGAGCTGTTTTGGGATGAAGGAGCTGCAAACGGCAAGGAGCTACACTGTACTATAGTCAGAAAGCGGGGCTCTCTCTGGGACTTGAACCCGAATCTACGTGGTGCTAAACCTATGTCGAAACCGCTAGACAATAAGAAGTCGACAAGAGCACCGCATTTTGACCGAAATGACGCCATCAATTCTTGGATGCGCGTTCAGCGACGTACGACGCAGCACGTGTCCGTGGCCGAGTCGACGCTCTGGACGTGTTTGCTACAATTGTATGGCCCGTACTCGCCGAGCGTTTTTGTGTACTTAGCGCTGTTAATACTTGTGCAAGCCAATTCCAAAAAGCAACTGCAGTCGATCAACGACGGCGCTTCCCTTTGCGCGTCGAAGCCTTCTCGAGTAGCCAAGAGGCTAAACCTCGCTTTTGATTTGTTGCTGCTGATGCCAGCTGGTGGTCGACCGAATCGCAAGGAAGGAATTATGGTCTGCTACGTTGTCGCCGACCATTTCCCCACATTTCACTTTTCAAATTTCTCTCATGCGTCGACTGCTACTGCTGCTGCTTCTCGTCTCGGCCGTGTATGCTGCCGACGTCTCGACCACAGCGCCGATCGTATCGGCTTGCCAAGTCTGTGCCTCGACGGGTCGGTGCCTCAACGCCGGTCCCAACGGCGATGCCGGCAAGTACTGCGGCGTGCTTCTCGACAAGGCGGCGCTGACATCCCAAGCGTGCTGCTGCTCGGTCGCGCAGATTTGCCCGACGCCGAGCCAAGGCGCCGTGTGCGACTGCGCCGGCGTCAAGACGGCACCGCCCGAGAAGGCCTCGTACAACTACACGTGGGTCATTATCGTCGCGACGATCGTGGGCCCGTTTGTTCTGTATGGCCTTTGCTGCTGCGGCATCGGATGTATCAACGTGTGCAGTGACTGTTGCGCGAACCGCCAGCAGCGCAAGGCCGCCAAGCAACGCGAGCGAGCGGCGCGACAGCGCGAACGCGACGCGCAAGCCGCGCAGGAGCGGGCCGAGGCTGCGATGCCCCAAGCCGTGATCGTCTCCGAGATCCCCGCGCCCACCGCCATGTACGTAGCTCAAGCGACGCCCGTGTACGCTGGCGCTTCGAAGTAACCGGACGATTTTACAACTGTATTTAAGGACAACAAGACTATCAAACAGCACTACTACCAGGTCTTTGCATTGGCGCAGTGTGCACGAGCAGGTCGAAGTTGGTGATGTTTCGGCTCTTGGTCGAGTTAATCTTTCGATTCGCGACACGATCGAGTTTCTTTGCCGCCCAAACGAAGCCGTACGTACGGCTGCACTGTAGGGCAAGACAGAGCACGATACCGAGACGCACGCAAGATCGCAGTACGTGGCAATGGCGGGACAAACGTCTTTGACGCGGCCGCTGCCGATCAACGACGGCGTTTTCCTTTGTGCATCGAAGCGTGTCGTCTCTTCTCGAGTAGCCCAAGTGGCTCAAAATCGCTTTTTGATTTGTTGCTGGTCGTCTACTAGTACCAGATGGTGGACCGAATCACGAGGGTTGTCATCGCACAATCACTTTCAATTCACACTATCATGCGTCAACTGCTACTGCTACTGCTTCTCGTCTCGG